GGAGTGGGGGAGTGGGAAAATATATATGAAGAGTGGGGATTTGTTGGGCCATAGGGGGCCATGGCTCCTTGGGGTCCCCCTGTCTCCGCCCCAGGGTTGGGTGGCCAGACCATCGGGCCTAGATCTTGAGCCCAAGCTCAACCCCCATATAAAGCCCAAAGCCCAGCTAGGAAATTGAGAAAAAAAATATTAGTATTCTTTATTTAACAACAAAATTGATTTATTTATATTAAATTGACTTCAAAATTGAAAATTTTATTCATTTATTTATTGTTTCATTTTATTAAAAAATTCATCTTGGTATCCTTTTTTCCTAAAAACTATTAATTAAAAAATTCACCTTTTGCAAATTCATTTTTTCTATACAATAATTTAGCTTCTGCAAGCCCCTGCAATGTAGGGGCCCCTCTGCTAGTACATACTAACAAGGAAAATGGTGTATAGAAAGAGCCCTTAGAATTCACAAAATGGAATCTTTGGGCTCTTCTCCATTCATCTTCACATGCTCAACGCGTGTGAAAACTTAAATGTAAAACCAACACATAAAACTCAATGTTAAACGTAAAAACCCACATGTAAAACCCAATGGGAGATGCATGTGTAAAAACCAAAGTGTAAAACCTAATGTTAAATATAAAAACCAACATGTAAAATTCAATAGGAGATGCGTGTGTAAAAACCAAAGTGTAGGTACATAATAGTCACTAAGACTATCAAAGTACAGAGGGTGTCAAACCAACACTATACAGATGCCTGCGATGAATTCATAACCCATCGTACGTTTGTGATGAGTTCATAACTCATTGCACATCTACGATGAACTCATACCTGAAATAGGTTACGATGAGCTTGGCTTACGCGGATCTGCAATGAATCTTAGACACGCGTGAGCTTGCGATGAGCTTTAGACACGCGCAGACCCGTGATGAACTTCGAACAGGTACGAAATTACTATAGATCGAGAATAAATATCGGAAACACGTGCTTCTTTAAATTACACACGTGGCAGGACATCCCGTGGGCCTAGTAAAAATGAGCAATGTAAATAATGACATCACTCGTGCCACGTCGGTTTAAAATGGTCACGAAAGGAAGTAGCATACATGGATTATGAGAATCCTTAAGAGAAAAGAGACTGTCTTCGAAGGATCTCGCTGGACACATGGTGAAACCCCAATAACGCTCCCTTAATAGTCAACATAAAGAAAAGATCCCCTTTCCTAACAGAAAATGTCTCCTTTTAAATCCTTCTCCTTATAGCCTTGGATTTCTATCTATAAAAAGGGAGAACAACTTTTCCCTAAGGGGGATAAGATATGAGATAATCTTGACCTAGGGTTTCTCAGAAAGGGACTCTCCCCTCTCTCCTCTATTCTTCTCTCTTCCCCACGTCCCCTCTCTTTCCCATCGCCTTCTTCAGACCTTTGAAGACTTAACCAACCTCCATAACCTTACCATGGCACCAACACAAAGTGTGAAACCCAATCTCACCTTATTAAACCACCATTTTTCTTTAACTTTCGTGTAAAAACCAATGTGTGATATTCATGAGCATTTGCTAATTACAAAAGTGCCACTATTTATTTACTTGAATTTTCTACTAATTACAAAAATGGCATTATTTATCTCCTTGAATTTTCTATTAATTACAAAAGGGCCATTGAAAGCAATCATTGCCTTTTTTTAGTTATGCATATGATATTAAGTTTTTATGTAATTAAAAGAGTGCCATCAACATGTAATTATAATATTGCCACAAAATTGTTATTATTCTCAATTTGGATTCTATTCCTGATATATTGTCTCGATTCTTATTGGGCCGAAGCCTATTCCACCTAGTCATGAATTATAAACATATTATTTATATTGCATTTTTGTAAATTTATTATATTATTTATTTTTATAAAAACATGTATATATGGATGAAAATAGTTGAAAAGATACTTGTAGTTTTTGCTTTTTTTACTCAAATTGTTATATTTTAATAATTTATTAATTTTTAAAAAATTAAATCAAATTGGGTCAGATTCGAAAATCTGACTTCTTCATCGGATTTGAATTCAGACCCATGTTTTATCATATCCGATCGGATCTTTAGATTGGATCTACAATTAATAGTGCCAGATCAATTTGGATATACCTTATTCGAATCTAATCCGATCCATCTGCATCTCTAGTCAATGGATCGGGTTGAACCTGAAGGGTCCAAATTGATTGGATGAATTCGATTTTTGGTTCATGAGATATTGTCCTAATTCTTATCGGGTCGGAGATGGTTCCACCCAATCACAAATTAATTTGGAGTTGGGTCTAAAATTATATACATTGAATTGGAAATTTGTAAGTCTAGTGTGAGCTCGAGGGGGTAAAGCTTGGGGTAAAAATTTGTGGGGCCAAAACCAGACCAAGTGTAAAGACAAAACTTAGGACCAAGCCTAGAATTTTTTGGCCAAGCTAAGCCTTTTCATTTTCATGTACACCTCTTTAACATCTCAATCGAAATCCATGGAATGAAAGCAAACTAATATTTTAAAACATTTCCTCTTCTCCCAATTTCTATCTCCAAGAACTCAACTACTTCCTCCTATACCTCCCCCATTCTCCCAATCCATGGAATGAAATCCATGGAATGAAAGCAAATATGTCTTAGTTAAATGTATTTTTTAAGATTTTATTAATTATTTTAAAGTTATTAGTTATAATTGTAAAATTATTTGTTTTAAAATTTGAGTAATTAATTTAATTTAAGTATTTAATTATATTAATTAAATTAATAATTAATTGATTTACCATAATTAATTAATTAATAAAGTTAAATTAATTAAATTAACTAATTAAGTAACACTAAATTAATTTGCTTCATTTATTAAAATAATTAACATTAAATATGCCTGAATAAAATTACTGAAATGTGTTGTTGTATTCTGTATTCTTATTGCGGGGGCACTCCGCATCTCCGCTGGTATAAGTTGTTTTGAAATGTCCAGAGTATATACAAGTAGTTTCTTTATTTCTTTCTTTTTTTACCCTTTTGTTCCGTTGTTCGTACGACTCTTAAGTTTTTTGAACCTAAGCCCTACTAATCCGGCCCGGATATCATGGGTCATGACTGCATGAATTACCTGGTACGGTGGTACACTGGTACGTGGTACCCCACCCCACTTCTGTTCAGCATGAATTAGTGGTAAAAAGATATGTTTGGTTCCATGGAAAAGAAAGTGAAAAGGGAAAAGTGAGAAAATGTTCTTAAAGAATTATAAAAATGCCATTTAACCAATTTTCTCTTTTTCAAAGTACATACTACAGATCCACGGTTACACACTTTACTCCAGCCAAGGGGGACAACAGAGCCAGCTTCTGACTGGAGCCTTTTTGGCATCTATCTCTCTTTCTTTCTGGTTTCCCTGCGTCCCTACTACTACTATAAAAAGGTTTAGTCAGCAGTTTCTCTCTCCCATCTTCTGTAAACTAACCACATTTTTTTCCATTTTTCTATGCGAGTGCGAGATTCCGAGATTTCTGATTCAGCTCCAGCACCATCACTCAACATCTGAAAAAAAAAAAAGAAGAAGAAGAAAGAAAACCTACATCTAGCATAGGGGAGGAACGAACAGAGGACCTCGGTGATGAAGAGAGAGTGCTTCGAAGTCCCCCTCTGACGCTTCTACGTTTTTTGTTTTCTCTTTTTGCAATTGGTTACAGAAAATTCCGGCAAGTTTTATAGCTCGAAAATTCTATGCGTGAGGAAATATCGCTACTGCTACTGATTACGGTTAATCGAAGTCTTTCTCTCGAGCTCTGAATTTGATGATGCGTGTTGGAAGGTGTTTCCATTTTGGTTGATCGGATAGGGAGATCGGTGTGGTTTGTACAGACTGGAATATCAAAAATGGAATAGCAGTTTCTGTGGAAGAAATCCGGAAGCTCTCATGCAATTAAGATTCGCAAGGTTTGGATACGTAGAGTTTTAGAAAATTTTCTTACATTGTTCCTAGAAATCCGGTGGAGAATCAGCAGATGTATTCGTGCCGAGTGTTTTGAGGGAGTAGATCTGAGGATGTTAGGAGTGAGTGATGGAGTAAGTTTTATACGTTTCAAGAAAATTGAGGATCTTTTCTAAAGCTCCAACCTCTGTTTTCCGAAAGTATAAGTAGGGACTGTGCCATTCAACAGCTTTCTTTTATTTTCCTTTTTACAGCACAAGTACTACTCCTCCTCTTCCTCCTTTTTTTTTCGAAAAATGAAAGAGAAACTATCAAATACGACTGTCAGAAGAGTTTAGGTGGTGACGAGTAACAGCCATCAACTCATCCTCTTAAGATCTTCTGAGCTCATTTTTGGATTTCCCAGCGACCAATTTTGAGGATTAACCGCGGTGCTAGAGGTGGAAAAAGAAAGGAAAGAGTGACCGATTGCTGAAAGCACGTTAAATGGAATGGAATTACAATTTTTGGCCGTTTTCCAAAGTCCAGTAAGTCGGTGGCAGAAAATGGTTTAGACAAGTCTGAATGCAGTAAATGTTTCCTATGAAAGGTTTGGAGTTATCCTGATTCTATTCTCCTTTCTTTTGTGGTCAATTGGTTTCTATGGCATTTCTTCTTTTCTTTTTTTTTCCTTTCTTCTTTTCTGATTGACAAAGGAAAAAGTGGCGAGATCCCATCTTTTTCTTTTTCTTTTCTCTTTTTTTGTTTCCTTTATTGTTTTTGCATTCCCTCTCTTCGTTATCATTGTAGAAAAAGAAAAAGAGAAAATAAGACCTTTGAGAATGACTAATTGTTATCCCGGACCCTGTTTTGAGCGAGATTTTGCGAGTGTTCACTTTAAATGTACTGTCTGTATTCTCTAATATGGGTTTTGTTTCATAATCTAGGAAGCCAGCTTTTTCATCTTGAAGCCTCTCCGTGAAAGTTTCCTACCGGAACAGGAGATTTCTGTGGTATACTGGTATTTATGAAACAGAGGCCTTGGGTATATGAACGAGTTTTGGGATGGCAGATGATGCAAAAGAAGCGCGGTCACTGGCCTTGACTCCAACATGGTCTGTTGCTTCTGTATTGACGATCTTTGTTGCTGTTTCCTTGCTTGTGGAACGTTCCATTCATCGGTTATGCTCTGTAAGTGGCCATGCATGAGTGAGACTTTCTTATGCTTCTGTTTGGATGCAATTATTTCCATTATTTGATTCATGCTTTTCTGCTCAACAGGCTGAGGATTTCCTCGCTCATATAATCATTACATTTCCTATCACATCATGGGGGAACGGCTTTAAGCATCCCCACTATAGTTCTTATCCTTTATGGAAATGGAAAAAAAAAAAGTAATGAAAGAAAGAATACCACTTCATCTAAATAGATACTGTATACACAAGCATGCATAAGACACGGTCAGTTTCACACACATTCAAGTGTTAGTTTGATTGAAAATAATAGGCCGAGGGATGGTATCTGCTTTAAGTTGCATTTGTTCCGATGTGTTCAATTTTTGTTTCACTGATGAGCAAATTTGGGAAGCCAGTGGTGCATACATCAGTCTGAGAACTCCAGTTTGTGAAATTTTATAAAAAAATGAAAAGAAAAATGAAACAATTAGATTTACTGAAACATTCTTTAACATCTGGTGTTTCATTATTAGCTGGATGAAGGAAGGTACAGAAACCAATTGTCTACCTACTAATCATTCCAGCTGTAAGGGCAAAGATGGTTGGCAAGTTTACAATATTGGTGTTACGGTTACTTCCTTTCTCTGTTCAGATTATTATTACACCCTTGATTACTTGAAGAAGGCTTTTTAGATTTACGACTCATTTTCCATTTCTTGCAAATACCTCTCTGTACATATATGTTTTGAGTATTTTTAATAAGATCATTTCAGAGTTGCAGCTTCGGTGTGTCCTTGGATGATTTTGTAAAGAGAAGAAGAGAAAAGATAGATGGGAGAACAGAGAATTGAGAGAGAGCCGATTTTTGGGTATGGAACCCATCTCATTAGGTTTTATAGTGAAGTACATAAGTTACAAGGATAAATCCACCAAAAAAATATCATGACTGCTTAAATTAACTTGAAACTTACATGGAATTTCCTTTAAAATCTTGCTTGATCAGTATCAAGGTTTTTCTAATTGAAGGTTATAGCTGACTAGTCAGCTATAATTGTTTCAACTAGTGATTAGTGAGAAACCTACTTTGATACCAAGTTACAAGTTTTGGCGTGTTCCCTTGGGTTATTTTGTGATAAGAGGATGATAAAAAGAGAAGACAAAATAGAGGGAAAAGAAGAAAGAATTGAGAGAGGCAAAAATTAGGGCTGGTACCCATCTCATTAGGTTTTACAATGAAGTACATAAATTACAAAGATACCCCTGATTGATAATTGGCAAGTATATCTGTGCTAGAATATCTCAACAAGTTCAAGAAAAAGAATTTATTTCCCCTTTAAGGTAGAAAGACACTTCTTATTCTCCTTATGTCTGACTGAATTGAACCCAGATTTCTTCCATATATTTATTTTATTTAGCAACAGCATAGCCAACCTCAAATAGTTTGTGTCAAGGCTGAGTTGAGTTGAGTTGAGCATTTCGCAACAACATCAAATAAGTTAATTTTTATAAAAAAAAAACAGAAACCCTATATTCCTTCTTTTAAAGGGGATTAGGGAAAAAGGAATGAATACTTCTCCTCTTTTAAGGTAGGGAGATACTATTTATTCTTTAGTAGAGTTAAGACCTCCTTTCTTCTTTATTTCTCCATTTATTTACTTTATTTTTGTCAACAACATCAAATGCTTTTATTGAATGAAGAGGATTTGTATAATCTCTTCTAATTATGAGTTTCAGGGAACCAATCAACTAGGGGGTGCAACTCGGGTTGGCCCAAGTTAACATTTTACACTGCTTTGAGTTCGGGCCTTCAGGTTGGGCCCATTCAAATTTTGACAAAAGGCCAACCTTTTTTCTGAGAAAATTTTGACAAAAGGCCAAGTTGCACCCCTACAATCAACCAGAGTACTTTAACAAATGAAGCTATCCCAGAACATAGCTCACCAATACAAAGAATTTCTACTCAAGTAACTCAACAAGCATCCATCAAAATTCACCTTAACAAATCCTTGTGGTGGTGAGGCATCCATGCTCACTGTATTAGCTACATATGCAAGATTTAGGTCTCTTCTTTTAAAAATGGGATGATTGTTTATTGATTGAGAAAGGAAGAAAAAGAGAAGATAACATTATTATTTTGTCAGAATATCAAATTACTCATTCTGTTCTTTAATCTTATATTCATTAGTACTTTACATCATATTTTCAATTCCCTATTGTAGACACTCCAAATTCTAAAAGTTCACTTTTCAAAGCTGTGCTTTTGCACAAAGTTCATTCATTTACTACCTTCTGAATTGTGTCTGATAACTCCAAATTTTCCTAGTATTTAACCTGGATTGTGTTTCTTTTCAAGTGAATTTATGATGTTTCATGACTTCAGTGGTTGCAGAAAACCAATCGAAAACCTTTATATGAAGCTGTGGAGAAAATGAAAGAAGGTATGTGGTATTAATTTTAGAAAATAATATTTGTTCACATATTTAGAGGTATTTTTTTATGATGCATTATGAGAAAACATTGCCACTGCAAATAGAAAGTTTGTCTTGATATGAATCCTTTATCTCCATCTTGTCTTGTGTCCTACTTTTTCTTCTAGCTTCATTGTTTTGGTTTCCGTTCTACAGAGTTGATGCTGCTGGGATTTATATCACTCCTTCTAACGGCTACCTCAAGCATGATCTCAAATATTTGCATTCAATCAAAGTTCTATGACAGTAACTTCTCCCCATGCACCAGGTCTGAGGTTGAAGACACAGAAACTGAAAATAATTCTTCTAAGGACCGTAAACTGTTGATGAGTTACGTTCTTCATCGTTCATTTAGGAGGATATTGAGTGGTTTGAACCAGAATACCTGTAAAGAGGCATGTCACTGAATTCATCTGAAATATTACTAGATTTTGGAATTATGGGAGCACTTTGATAATTGATATTTAACATATTAACTCTCTTTGGCTGCTTTCTTGGCTAATTCTGGATTTTCTATTATGCAGGGTCATGAGCCATTTGTTTCATATGAAGGTTTGGAGCAGCTGCATCGTTTTATCTTTGTCATGGCAATAACACATGTATCTTACAGTTGCTTAACAATGTTACTGGCAATTGTTAAGGTCAGAAAACATTAAAATTAGTTATGTAGGTGTTTGAAGTATTTGTACATACTTCTGATCTGGTATTTCTAAGTTGCAATGATTGCAAAATTTTTAGTTAGATATTGCTCTTGTGCATTTGCAATCCAACAGTCTAATTCCCGTTAAATTTTGCAAGTTTAGGATTACACTATATCAATAGGTAGACTATACTATCATAAATATTAATTTTGAATTCATGTTGAATGATTGATGATGTTGCACAATCTGTTTTAGAACATAATCGTTATATTGCTTATCTTTCATTGCTAAACAATGTACAAGATGCCACTAGGAGAGAAATTCGGAGCAAATTTACATCCTTCAGGATAACTAGTTGATAATAATAAAGATGACAGAATGAGTTACCAAGTGCTGCAACAATGAAAATGTTAATTGCTTGGAGAAAGCCTATGGAAGAAGACAAGCAATTCCACTAATCAATAGGGGAATAATGTACTGTTAGTCTTATTGCCTTAGGAACTTGTATCATATGTGCTTGTATGGATAGTGATCAAACATTTTTTGTACAGTGAATCAGTATTGCTTMAGGAGCTTGTATATCTATCTTCTATCTTATAAGCTTCCTTTTTTTTTTTTTTTTGTAATATCTCCATTCGTTTTTTGTTTAATGAAACCTTTCAATGCTTGCACCTGAAAAAGGTTTAAATTACATCTTTATATAATTTTCCTTTAATATGGTTTTCCAGCATTTATAAGAAACCAAGAAAAATTATTCCAAAGAAAATGGATTTTGGGTGTGTGTATTGGGCCTAAGAGCTAAGAATGTGCGG